GAAAGAGTGCATGCCTGATTTCTCATTCTGGTATGCAAAGTCCTCCAGGAAATGAAGGACTGGAAACCTACCTTTCCAGTTTAATCTTTCATTACCTTTTCATACATCCTATGCTTTAGCTAAATCACACAACTCACTGATCCTGGGACATAAAACATATATTCTTACCTTCATACCTGTGCCAAGCTATACCCATCATCTGAATACCTTCCCCTTTTAAAAAATTCTCTTTATCCCCCAAGACTGATCTTAAATACGATCAGTCATGCTATCTATGGTGTAGAAATGAATACAGGGTTTTCTAGTTGATAGACTGTGATTTCATGCTACCAAGCCACCTTCTGATTATGTCTTGGTTTTCTGGCCGGTAGATTTGTCAAAGGGAAAGAACTTCAGAATTTCTAGAACCATCACAGCGAATTCTCAGACTCAGTTTTCTAGTTAATTCCTGGTAGAGAGAGAATAGGTATGAGATTGCTGATGGTAGTGGGAATACTCACGTAACTAAACTTGCCCATAGGGTAACTGCATTTCTCATTGTAAAGAAATAGGTATTTTCTCTCAGAGGCAGACAAATAAGTTAGTGATGCAGTCTTGTCAACAAATGCCAAAGATGTCATAGCTCCATATCAGAGCCAAGTTTCATAATGATATGAATGCAAGTGGGAAAACTGAGTCACTGCATGACATTCCATGACAGGAATACTGAGCTCAAAATAATCTTTGCTGTAGCAGTTTTAGTAGCTGGGAATCACTGTATATTTATTATCATGTCTGGAGCTGTCTATCCATTTTACATGTACTAACTTATTTAATTTTCACAATAGTCCTATAAGTTAGGAACCCCATTTTATGAGTAATAAAACTAGAGAGGCTATGCAACCTGTCCATGGACATACAGAATGGAGGTAGCAAAGCTAGGATTCAAACTCAAGCAGCCCAGCCCCCAAACCTTCACTAACAACACTAAACTTTAGAAATTTACATTGTAAGCAAGAATTTTATTTCTGCAGCCTATCACTATCCATCACATTAATGTTGTAAATTAAATTTTTATTGGTTTTGGAGTTTCAGTTTTATGTGTTATACTATATGTTTAAAAAATTTAGAGTAGTATGAAAACACATGGTGTTTATATGTTAATATTTTTATTCATTTTTTATATATTGAAGTGGCATTCACATTAAAAAAGCAATTTAGTTAAGTGCCACTTCATTGACAAGGCCTTTCTAGATAACTGCACTAGATGTGAATGATTTACTTCCTGAATCTCCATACTATGTAACTATCTTAAAGCTCAAACTGAACTCTGTCTTATAACACTTTACATTGGACTGTAAGTAACTTAGGCTGGATCTCAACTCATCATTATAACCCCTATAGTACCTGAATAATGCTCTGAACATTTGAGTATAATAAATGCCACACGATTTCCTGAGGTTTGGCTGCAGAGTATACTCTGCAAAAGCCATAACTACACAAAGCCTGGGTGACATTTATTGATATTACACAAAGCTGAAAGGCCTAGACTCTAATAGCAGCTCTAGCTGCCAATGACTCAGTGTGTAATCTTGGTCCTCACGTGAGTTTCCTTTTGCCAGCAGGGAAGAAAGACATTGGGTGACATCAGGCAAAGGAACACAGGCCAATTATACCTTTCAACCTTCCTAGTTAATTCTAAAGGTATCCTAATGTATGAGGTCAGTTACTCTAATTGCTTAAAAAAAAAAAAAAAAAGAGGCCTTTTAGAAATGCAAAGGGAGTTTCTTTTTTAAAGAACCATTTCTCATCCTTTGCCCAAGTATGCTGGAGGTAAACCAGCTTCATAAAACAAATGATGATTCTTTTTCAATTGACAATATATCTCTCTACTCCACAGCCAAATTTGCTTTCCAATATTTTCCTTCTCTAACTGTTTTTACAGATTCCAGCTCATAATGACTAACCTCCAAGTTCTGTAGATTTTTACCCCTAAATATATGTGGAATCCATTTTCTCTTTATCACCATCCTTACTAATATAGACCAGAGGTTCTCAAAGTATGGTCCCAAGACCAGCAGCGTTAACTTGGGAACTTGTTAAAAGTGCAAATTATTAGGTCCCATCCTAGCAATCTGGTGAAGTTTGAGTTAGCTTTAACCTAAACTGCCTGAAAGTCTTCTCCACACCCAGCCTACTTAATCCATAGTCTATGCATCCACAGATTCCATCAGTGATTTTCCATTTACTGAGTAGTGATTTTTCAAATATAAGTCTGTTGACCCATTCCAAAAGATAGTGAAGTCAATCCAGTGGGTCAACACCAGTATTTAATTTTAAGTAAGTGAAATCAGAAGAAAACACAAAATATTAGAATGCATCATATATAGAATAAATAGGTATTATTTTGTTAAACTTTGCTTCAGTTATGTGTGTGTGCATGTGAGTATTTCCTATTATGGGTCATAATTCAAAATGTTTGAAAGACACTTGCCTACAGCAGTGCTTCTCAAACTTTATTCATGGGTTTACCCAAGGATCTGTTATAATGCAGATTTTTATCTGAGTAGGTCTGGGTCTGAGCAGTTTCCTGAGACTCTGCATTTGTAATCAGCTCCCAGGTGACTGCCAGATTCCTTGGACCTTACTTTTACTACCAAGAGCTATTCAACTGAGAAATTTGAGAATACTGCTAAACTTGCTACTTCAGTTTCCTTAACTCATGATATTGTAAGTTATATTAAACTTGAGATATGACAGATTTGCAACACGCTAGAAAGTTTTGCTAACTGAATGTTCAGAGTGTTGGGATTGTGGTATTCTAGTTAACCGATGGGGAGTCATACAATATTTTGCTTTAACTGTGGTTGTTATCAATCTATGAGTTTCCTATTTCTTGCCTTAGGAAAGGAGTAAACTGAGTTAAAATATGTTTTCTTGGATGATTAATAATTTTGGATTGCCTTAGGATAATCTAACATTATCTTAGGATAATGTAAGAGTTACTGGAGCACTAACTATAGGATAATACAAATACAGATGCATAAAATATAGAGAAAGAATGGGCTCAATTTAATAAGCACTGACCTCAGATTACACTCTGGATATTTTCATTTCCCCCCAAAATCTTGAAGTGAATTACAATTTTGGGGGAGGGGTCCTCTTTTTTCATTAAAGTTTAAGGAAGAAAAAAAATAGATTATCTAGCTCCAATTAATCAAGCCAAACCAAAAAAGTTATAATTCATTCACAGAGCAAATAATTTACTAGATGCTTACTTTATGCCAGCTACAGGCCTACATGCTGCGGACAGAGATGAGAAGACAAAGACTCTTCCTTAAAGGTACTTTGTCTAAAGGATTCTGTATATTTCAACGTCTCTGTAGCTGACTGGATGAGGGCTTCTGGTGGGTCTTCCCCATTGATCTAAGAGCACAGACTGGTCTTTCATTTTCTTTTAATTTTCCATGGCACCTGGCACAGTGCTCTGCAGGCCATCAAATACAATAGTTAATACATGTTGATGACTACTCACCTCTTTTATTCACCAAAATAAGAATTCTGTTTGAAGAGAATACGAAATGCAGCTGACTAATGGCCCAATCCATGCCATTCTGTTATATGATAGTTTTGGTCAAAATGGAACATTAATCTGTATCCTATAATCAGCTACATCACCCTGAAGTTATAAGTTTCATTAAACATGTAGAGTTCACTGAGAATTGACTATTCTTGACTATCTACCTCCCTTCATTTAGGTAGACACACAGGAGAAACGAGAAACGTAGATAGTTTATTTTTTTACAAAAATATAATTTCCCCAGGTTCTCTGATAACCTATATAAATATTAAAGCATTCTCACCATCACACACACATACAAATCAACTTTGGGTAAGGAGTCTCCAACCCTCATCTCAACTTCAGATCTTTTCTTCTATTGGTAATATCTGTTTTTGTTTCATGGTTGTCAGATACAACAGGGTCTTAAAAATCATTTACATTCATCCACAGTGATCACAAAAAATTAAATTTCACTTTTGATGAGAAAGGAGAAACTGCATGATTTATCATGCAGTTATTTAATTTTAGAACTTGATATTAAGATTAAAACATGGGCATTATTCAAGGAGAAATGGAAAGATTAAATTAATAGTCAATAATAACTCACCTGAAATCTAGACCACTTAATGATACTTCTATTAGTTACCCAAAATGGATATGTACTAAGGAAAGGACATATTATTAGTCTGATTATCTGGCAACAGTTAAAAGAAAGAGTTGGAGCAAATTTTACAACATGGAAAAATAACCATGTGAGGAAACTAGGGAATCCCATAAAGAATAAATGAGAATATAGGCTAATAAATAATTTAGCATCATTTTACAGAGACTCCAAAGCCAATTATAAATGAGTACTTAAGTACATCAAAGAGATAAAGTGAGCTCAAGAATAGATGGAACCATTTAATGGTTAATACCTAACAAGTTCACTTAAGGATACAGTGGGAATAGGATGGTGAGGTAATATTTCTTAAGAAACAGGATCTAGAATTTGAATTTTGGAGCAAACTCTTGGCAAGGAAACTGGAGTCAGGGAATATAGCCCTAGACAGAATAGAGAATATGCTGGCCTTTTCCTCTTGCATAAGCTCCATCTTTTTCTCTTTCTCTGTCGTCTTTTTTTCTCTGTTACCTATCTTATATTTTTGCCTTTTCTTTGCCTGGCATTTCTTCCTCTCTTCTTTCACATACTTTTTCCTTAATTGTCTAGAACATAACCTTGCATCAGTGTCGTACATATATTTGTAGTATTTTATATCTTGTAGAGATCTTTGTAATAATTCTTTTGTTTTGATAAAGTCAAGTCCTCTTTGCTAAAAATTTTAAAGACAAATGAGCTCAGTTTTTTAGATATCTACTTTTCTTTTCATGGACATTTATCTCCTACCATACTTTTTAAAAAAACTTGAGTGGCCTTCAAATAATTTCTTTTCTCTCTGAGGTGATGGCTCACATAAGAAAGGCTCCTTATCTTGGTTTGTGTCTAATAAATTCTCTCACATTGAGGCTTATGTCTTTTTGTTCCCTAATTCTACCCTTAATAGAAAAGACTAATTTCAGTTTTTATACAGAACCATACATAAACTCTATTATTAAATAACCATGCACCTTCCTGTTTAGGATAACGAACCCTCTTAGCTCCTCACTTATCTTTTAGGAGGCAATATAGTATATGGGTTAAGAGTAGAGGTTCCAAGTTCACAGACCAAGTTCTCTGCCATACACTAGTTGAATGACCTTGAGCAAGCTGTTTGACCTCACCAAGCCTCAGCTTCCTTAGCTGCAAAATAGGCATAATAATTGTACGACTTCATAGGGTTGCTACAATATTAAATAAGTTTAAAGTTCTCAGCATATTGCTTGGCATAGAGTGCTCAAGACTTTCTAACCATTCTCATTTTTCAATAATTTACCTTTAACGAAAGCTTTTTGAGTAATACGGCTCTCTTCTTAACCCCCGTATTTTTCAAGTCCCTCTTCACCACGGAGCCTAGTTCCCAGTGTTCTGGAGAGAATGCGGTTATCTGTCAAAATGTTAAACTGCATAGTTTCTAACTACATACTATACTTTAATCTTAACAACCCATTCTCAAGTTTTCCTTACTGTATTTCTTGATCCAAAAGGGCAGGGAGGAATCTTCCCAAGGAAGGAGTTGGGGGTAGGAACTAGGGTCTAGGGAGCCAGGGACAGTGAAGGAGGCGGAAGCCAGTTCTCACCGAGAGGATCTTATCACCCTCCTGGAGCCGCCCATCCAGGGCTGCAGCCCCGTTCTCTTTGATGCGGCTGACGAAGATGCCACTGTCATTGGAGACATACTGCTGATCTGTGCCACCGACGATGTTGAAGCCCAGCCCTGAGAAAATCATGGAGGAGTTGTAAAGGAGATGGGGGTGAAGAAGAAGGAAAGGGATTAGAGAAGAGGAGGAGGAGAAAGGAAAGGCCTTGTGGCAAGGGTGGGGGTTGGGGAGTGTGGGCGGGTAGGAGGTGGGGAAGTTAAGACTGTGATGTAGCTGGTGGCTAGTCATGGGCAAGGTCAATGATTAGTATCACCAACAGAGGTCAAGAGTACCGAGGGTTGCCCACTCAGACCAGGCAGGACTAAAAATACAAACACAATGATCAACATGGTTAGGTGAATATAAAAAGAAAGATCTATACTGAACTCAGTGAAAAAATAATGGTGATTCTTTTAAGATGTGCTTCTGCTCACATTTGATTTTGATTCTGTTGGTGGCATTCAGAGGCCCCAAATCTTGACTTTCCGGCTTAGAAGAAGCTATGCTTTAAACTAATCGGCAAATGAACTGTTCCTTATTTAGTGGGAGAGAGATTCTTAAACAAAACATCCCCTCAATACTTCTAACTTCAGGAGAGTTTGTGGATGGCGGTGCTTTGGAAGAAATGACCTTGGGAGTTCTTTTTTTTTTTTTTTCTCTAGTTTGAATTGAGGGGGCAGTACTGTAGGCACTGGCAGAAAACCTGGGAACGAAAAAGGTAACTTATGCTTCCTGACAGGACTAAATCACCAAATTCACTCTTCTTTTCTTTTATACCTCAAGTACAAATAACCACATCCTTGGGTACAGTGATTGCCAAGTTTTATTCACTATAGATAACCGATAACCTATTGATTAGCAACTACCCATTTCCCCCTTTTCCTAGCCCCTGGCAATTACCATTCTATTCTTCACTTCAATGTGTGATTATTCTATTCTTAACCCCTGTATTTTTCAAGTCCCTCTTCACCACGGAGCCTAGCTCCGTGAAATTCAGTTATGCAAGATGGAAATCTGATGTACACCATTGTGCCTTATAGATAACAACAGCCTTATTAGACATGTAAGAATCTGTTGAGAGTAGATCTCATTTAAGTGTTCTTACCACAATAAAATAAAATTGAATTTAAAAAAGAACAAAAATTGACTACCAAGGTAATTTTTCCATGGACCAAACACTAAGTTGTGAGAAGGACTTCATTTTACAAAATCATTTATAAAGGGATTTCATCTATGCAATAAAAAGAAATGAAAGAAAAGGGAACTTCCCTAGGGCTTTCTTTATGTCAGGTACTGTAGAATTCAAAGCCACAGTGCAAAGAGAAAGGAGATAGTTAGGAAACAACTGAAAAACAAATATCTGACGGCACAACTGGAAAAAACAGCCATAATCAGTAGCCTTCTACTGGTTTCAATAGAAAACAGATACTTAAAAAGGTGAGAGGAAAGCTTATAAGTGAACCTCACAATATTAACATAAGCAGTAGTGAATCGATCTATGATTTATGGAAACATATGGCCAAAGAATGAAGCAGCAGGAAATGTCTAATTGAAATATCATACCTCATATACAGTGTACCTATAGCTAGAGAAAGAAAAGAAGAATACATAATAGAAAGAACTTCCACCAGAAGATGACTATTTCAATTTCTTTAAAGGGTAGGGTATGAAAATCTTATATTACTAAATGGTTTCCCTCAGAAAACTCTTAATTTGAATCATAGTGGGTGGGAGGTATTGGAAAGGGGATGGGAGGTAGTTAATTTAGATCAGATGGAAAGGTAGGTGGACCTTGACTATAAAAGGCTTTGAAATAACTTTAAGACTGTGACAGGTTTGAGCAAGGTGGTTGAAGCCAACCAGCCTCTCTCACTACTGGAAAAAACTATCTGGAGAAAATCTTTCAATGAAATCCAACATCCTCACCAAACACTAGAGCTGCCTCTGGAGATCCTGGGAACAGGAAGTATGTGTTAAGCAGCTGAATGCAACATAGTAATTAGGAAGAAAAGGGACTCTGCTACTGGTTATTTAAAGCTACAGAACAGTGATTAAAAAAGGAGAGTGGGGCTTCCCTGGTGGCGCAGTGGTTGAGAGTCCGCCTGCCGATGCGGGGGGGCACGGTTTCGTGACGCGGTCCGGGAAGATCCCACATGCCGCGGAGCGGCTGGGCCCGTGAGCCATGGCCGCTGAGCCTGCGCGTCCGGAGCCTGTGCTCCGCAATGGGAGAGGCCACAACAGTGAGAGGCCCGTGTACCGCCAAAAAGAAAAAAACCCTGTACCTTGTGCTCAGAAGTCCAACTACCCAAGACTGCCATGCTGGAAAGACCACAAGTGTAGGCACACAGGTTAACAGTCCCAGCTGAGCATGGCCTTCCAGCCTTCTTAACCAGAGTGACAGACATGCCAATAAAGCTGCCTAGGATTCTCCAGTCCAGACCACCTGCTAGCAAAGACTAACCAATGACCTTTGTCGATGCTTCATATAAGAGAAGACTTGCCAAGACAAAAAAAAAAAAAAGGAGAGTGGATGGTGACCTAAATTGGAAGGAAATCCAAAACAGAGGGGCTATGTATAGCTGATTCATTTTGCTGTACAGTAGAAACTAACAGAACATTGTAAAGCAACTATACTCCAATAAAAATTAAAAAGAAAAAAAAGGAGAGTGGAAAAAAATCTTACCAAAATTTTCTATAAACAAACAAGTGTAGTCTACTCCCCCCATCACATTATATAGGCATGTTTATAACCATGCTTATTGCTACTTCAATTGTAAATGAACCACACCAATTAATACGAGACCTTCTGGACTGACATGAAGTTCCCTTCTACGGTTACAACATTTACAAACTGAACTTATCTATAATTTGAAGCATCGCTGCAATAAATGGGAGTCGCCGAAGAACTGAGTAGCAACACTACCAGTTTAAACCTGGGCCCCATGGATACCTACGTAATCCTCAGTCCACTTATTCATTAAAAATTATTGATCATTTACTGTGTGTCAGGCACTGCATTATATTGTGAGGAAAACATAAAGCTAAACTGGACAGTCCCTGCTTTAACAACAAATTTATCCTTTAGTCCCTTTTAGATTCTGCAGAAGTCAATTAAAGTCAGAAGACCTGGCTACAAATTCAACTCCGTAACTTACCTGGTATGCGGACTAAAACAAGTCAGTGTATCTCTGATCCTCAGCTGCTTCTTCTGTAACGTAAGGATTATAAATTCTGTCCTCTCTACCTCAAAAGGTAGTTGTTAGCATCCAATAACATAAAATCTGAAAAAATCCTTTATAAACTATGTAGTGCTTGCTATATGGAGTAACTGCACTAACAGTAGTTGTCAATAAACTAGTAGTGCTTGCGACAACCCCAAACTAGACAGTCTGATGGAGAAAGGATGAATAAATATAAATGTGAAAAGTCTTGAAATACAGGAAGACAGAGAGATTAAAAAGTCCACCCACCTATTAATAAGACAAGAATGGACTGGAACTCAAACATTGAAATTAAGGATGTCTCTTACCTGTGACCCACACATCTCCCTCATGAGTAATTTCTAGCAATGGTGGTATTTAAAATATGCAGTAACCAGGCCAGCACATGCACCAACCAGATGCCAGCTAGAAACAACCAGAAGGGGAAGGGGTATGCCAGTATATAACTGCTGATTATTGGCTACATCCTAGGAAAATCTTCTATAAATAGGGTGGATCACATATCTTGGTTTGTCTGGGAGACTTGATATACACCTGTTGTCTCTGTAATTAAAATAGTCCCCTTCAATGTCAAAAGCATCTCAGTTTGGACCAATCTGATCATCCTATCAAGGGTAATGTAAGAATATGTTAATTGCCGCATGTTTTGTGGTATTGAGGAACTGATGGTAATTTAGGTATTCATTCTTTGGGGCACGGGTCCCCAACCCCCAGGCCGTGGACTGGTAGTGGTCCATGGTCTGTTAGGAAACAGGCCACACAGCAGGAGGTGAGCGGCAGGTAAGCGAGCAAAGCTTCACCTGCCGCTCCCCATCACTTGCGTTACCACCTGAACCATCCCCCCACCACCATCTGTGGAAAAACTGTCTTCCACGAAACCGGTCCCTGGTGCCAAAAAGTTGGGGGATCGCTGCTTTGGGGAACAGGTAACTGAGAGATAATTAAAATTCAGAAGCACTGAATAATCATACACAAAGTAACAGAGTTTTAAAATGTAATGTTGGTATTAATAGTATAAAATCTTCTTAAAAACACATTCATGCAGAACAGTATTACCTATTTACAAAAATGCATGCATATTTAAGGACATGTAAAGACACATTATCTGTGAGGGAAGGATACAGGGTGAGGTTTAGGGATGAAAGGTAAAAATAAAACCAAAGAGGGACCTTGCACGTACTGATGAGGACAATGTATTATGGAGCTGAAGAGTATAATTAATTCAGTTATTGGCATCTACTATCCAAAAGGGGTTGAAGGGAGAGGGAGAAAGAAAAAGACGGGGGCTCAATAGACTTTTTAAAAAAGTGAGTGAATGAAAACGTACTCCATAGTGAACCCTGGTTATAATGTGCCAATAAATTTTTAAAATGTGGCAAGATTAAAATGGATTGCTTGGCCTCTAATTTGGAAGAGAAGTCTAAACACAAAAAAGTACAGATGGCATAAGAATGACACCATCATAGGACTGGGAGAGAAAGAAAATGTGCTTAGTATAAGAGCCCTGTAAAATTAAACAAGACATGCCGTCTTGTGGACTCCTCCTGTCTCCAGGTCTGGATCTTGAGCTTGCTGACAAATAAGAGCAGCAACAGCAGCAGCAACAACTAATATTTATTAAGCGTTTAATATGTACCAGGTACTATGCTAGGTACTCTATGTACATTATCTCATTTAGTCTTCTCAACAAACACATGAAGTGTTTATCACTCACATTTTACAGGTGAATTTAAAAAGTGAGGCAGGAAGAGATTAAGTAACTTTATAAAAGGTCACACAGTTAACTCTTTGCAAAGCCCAGACACTAAGTTAGCATGTTTGATTGCTAAGTGTAAGTTTTAAACCATTTTGCTATA